TTGTAGAGCTCCATTTGTTTGGGTAGATAAGACTGTGGCTGTATCTTTTCCTAGGCTAGACATTAGCTTAGGGTAGAAGTTTGAACAATAATGGCAGAACTAGACCACGTATTGGCGGACAGGCAGCATTGTGTGGAGGACAGAACGCCGAATAGTTTGAGATAAATCAAGTGGCAAAGCGGCTACCATATCCCCCGTGATCACGTGCTTCTTTTTCTAGTTAGGGACAAGTGAGAAGATTCGTTTTATCTTTGTGAATTCGCTTCGGCGGGCACTTAGCTTTCTTCTTTTCCCAGCTGTCAGTGAAGTGACCAAAGACGAAATAACTCCGTCACCTACCATCCACGCAACCTATACTTTTGGGTGCCTGTTGTGTGCCAGTTAGAAGACCAGATGATAAAGCAAATCATGGGTCCTCTTCAAAAGTGAACTGGGGGGTGTGACATGACAGCTGGAGACAGCCATGTCACTACGCTAGTTGGTCACCATGCTTGGGAAGGCTTGAGTGAGAAGGAAAGCCAGCGAGGAGGGACAAATGGCTCAGAAAGACTGAACAGGCAAGGCCCTGAAGCTCAGAAGAATGGATTTTGTTCATTTGTTGTTAGTGTTTTTAACCCCAATCATAATATGTGGAGACAAAGACACGTTCGTCAGGCAGATGGTAAGGTCCAGGCATTTCGGGGAGGATCAAAATGAATGGGACTTGTAACAAAGCTGGTGGAGGACAGTCCACAACTTCAGCAGAGCTGTGGAAGAGAACAGAGCGAGCCTTGGAGCTCTGAGCAGCAGGACGTCAACAGAGCAGTGGGGTAGGCATTAGCACACAGAAGAAACTCTGAGGTACACAACAGGTTCCACATAATGGAAGCAGCTTGTTAAGGAAAGTGTGTGTGTGTGTGTGTGTGTGTGTGTCAGGGGGATGCTGACCAGATTCTGATAAAAGCAGTGAGACCAGAGCATAGCGCATCACTGATGACAGAGTGTCAAGAACATAAAGAAAAATAAAAACAACAAAACAAAAAACAATACAAAACAAAACAAAATAAAAAAACCAAAAGCCATTGAGTAATGCAGGGAGACCTCTTAAGAATTTGATAGCTCTATCTCAGGGGCCTAGAGTTCCTACAAAGGATGAGAGAGAGAGAGGGAGAGAGAGAGAGAGAGAGAGAGAGAGAGAGAGAGAGAGAGAGAGAGAGAGAATTTTTAAATAATAAATTAAGAAAACTTTAGAAATATTAATCAAAATGTATCTATACAGTTAAAACCAAGAGAGACTAACATGGAAAACACAGAAGCAGTAATTAAAGCACCAATTGGGAACGGGAGGAGGATGAGGAGGAAAAAAGACACCATGAGATAATGAAAGTTTTAAATTCTTGGTCAGACTGGAAGAGACTATCAACGTGTAGCAGTTTGAATAAGAAATGTTCTCCATAGTCTCAGGCATTTGTACACTTGGTCCCAGGAGGTGGTGGTCTCTGAGGAGACTTAGGGTCCCCCCAGGGCCTTGCTGAGGAACTACGCCCTCCCTCGGAGGCAGGCCTTGAGAATGTGAACTCGCAGCCTGCTGCTGCAGCCGCCATGCCTGCCGCCCATGGCTGCCACTTTCTCAGGATGGTGGTGGACTGCTAACCCTACGGAACCGTAGCCCAGATCAACCCTCCCTTAAAAGTTGCCCTGTCATGGTGTTCCATCACAGCAACAGAAGAGTAACTAATAATGGTCACATCAGAAACAGAATTTTCAAAGTAGATGACCATTTACACACTATTCATTCTTGTAATGTTGATAGAAATGTAAATTCAGAATGTTGGTTTAAAATACATCATGTTAACATCCTCTGGGGGTGAGTGTGATATCAGAAGGCAGAGGGAAACTTGTGTTTTCCATTACATACATGCTCTCTTATGAGTTAGTGAACTTTTAAACCAAAAAAAAAAAAAAAGTAAAATATAACTATGGCTATAATAGAAACTAGAATTTGAAGAGGTAATGCAAAAGTTGATAAGAAAATCAAAAGTTGGGGAAGAGGAAAAGAAATAAAAAAAGAAGGGAGAAATTGGAAAAAAAGACAAGCCAAAGCAAATGGGACTTTTGTGTCCCAATACGCAAAGCCAAGCCACTACTGGGGGACAGGGAAGGGACAGGAGACTGGAAAGTCACAAAAGAATGAATCTCTGCTAACCACATGAAAAACCCTCAATTAAGATATTTCTACACCAGTGAAGAAACAGAAAGAAAATGAGAATTGTTTCAACCTATTAGGTTTACAAAGATAGAAAGATTGCTAATACCAGGCTGACAAGGCTGTGGGAGGTGGGTACTTTTAAACCAAAGGCATGGAGAAAGGGGGATCAGTTTTGTTTAGGAAAATCTGGCACCTGAACTAAAATGAAAATATGCATTCCATTCCAAGTAACTCCACTTCTGGAAAATTTATAGTAGAAAACTAATTAGACTGGGTTGTAGGGATGTTTCTTGATTTGTTATTTATATTGCAGAAATAGACATGAGTTAGTTACGGCCCAGGGATTGGTTAAATAAATTTTACTTCATTCATGCCAGGGAATATTATACAGATATTAAAAAGGATAAGGTAGATCTGTATGTGCATATATATATATATTCCTAATTAAAATAGCACATATATATGTATATATAATGAACATAATTACACTAGAGATGAGAATATTTTCTATGTATAAAAAATTTAAAGAGATAGTCACTAATTTGGAGCTTCTCGAATGTTCTGAGTTCATGACACCTCTAAGGTCTCAGTGAGTTTTATAGTCTCCCTGAGTCCAAAGAAATGCCTAACATTTTTGTTTATTTAAGGTTGGGACCAGTCAACTTAGCATGTACTTGTTTCCTAGCAACAGCAACTATATGAAATGCACATACATTAAAGGAAAAAAGTCTTAATCACATTCTTAACCCCTCTCCTGGCTAGTTTTTATGTCAACTTAACAGAAGCAAGAGTCATCTAAGAAGAGGGAACCTCAACTGAGAAATTGCTACCATAGATTGGGCTGTACATAAGCCTGTAAAGTTTTCTTAACCAGTGGTTGATGGAGGAGGGCCCAGCCCATTGTGAGTGATGTCATCCCTGGGCTGATGGTCCTGGGTTCTATTAGAAAGCAGGCTGAGCAAGCCATGGAGAGCATGCCAGTAAGCAGCACCCCTCCATGGCCTCTGCATCAGTTCCTGCCTTCAGGTGCCTGTCCTGTTTGAGTTCCTGCCCTGACTTCCCTCAGTGATGGATTGTTTCCTAGAAGTGTAAGCAAAATAGACTCTTTTCTCCTCAAGTTACTTTTGGTCATGATATTTCATCACCTCAATATTAATCCTAACTAAGACAATCCCTATGTATGCATGTCAGACACTGCACATTTTCTCAAACTGGATCTGGCAGGACTGCAGCCACCTTCATTTCCTAGTCCATATTGATTTCTGTGCAGCATAGCTTTTGAATCACAAAACTCCTCTGAAGACCTAGATTTGCAAAGATTCAACATTAAAAAGGACAAGATGTGGTCTGATCCTCACATTGAATCAACCTAAGCCAGTAGTGTACATGATATCTGACTTGTCAGATGTCTTAGAGTTTCCATCAAGGGTGTATGCATCTTGGGAGTCTTCTTGGTGCCCTGGGCACCCTGGTGCAGTGTGGGAACCAGAGACTCTTCCTGGAAGGCAGGCTGGAGGGAGGGAGAAGTTTTCCTCTGTATGCACATCGGGATAGATTAACCTTTTTATAGTAAGCATCTATGACTTCATTAACTGTTACCGGGGTTTTCCACTTCTGAGAAAGATAACAGCCAGAGCACAAAAGAGAAAGAGAACACTTCGGTCATGGAGAATGGAAGAAGAAATCTGAGAACAGAGCTGCAGGAGTGCCACACAGAACTGTCCCTGCACGTCATGGAATTTTGACTGTGCTCCAAGTTCCCCTCAGCTGTTATGTCAACACATTTGCTCCCTTCCTAGGGCAGAGCCATGCGCTGAGGGAACCAGTGATGCCTGTGACCTCGGAAGACCAGCGTGAGGCCAGCCACAGCTCCGGAGCCCTCTGCCTGGGCTCCAGCTTCAATGCTGCTGCATTCTAACTGTGTATCCTTGGACAAGTTCACCAACTCTGCTCTGCCTCAGTTTCCCCATCTGTTCCGCAGTGAGAATAGTGTTGGCAGCTGAGGAGGTTTGCTGTGGGATGGTCTGTATGTCAAATTGCTCTGATTGGTCAATAAATAAAACACTGATTGACCAGTGGCTAGGCAGGAAGTATAGGCGGGACTAACAGAGAGGAGAAAAGAAAGAACAGGAAGGTGGAAGGAGACTGCCAGCCGCCACCATGACAAGCAGCATGGGAAGATGCCGGTAAGCCACGAGCCATGTGGCAAGGTATAGATTTATGGAAATGGATTAAATTAAGCTATAAGAACAGTTAGCAAGAAGCCTGCCATGGCCATACAGTTTGTAAGCAATATAAGTCTCTGTGTTTACTTGGTCGGGTCTGAGCGGCTGTGGGACTGGTGAGTGACAGAGATTTGTCCTGACTGTGGGCCAGGCAGGAAAACTCTAGCTACAGGGGTTTGGTGGAAGTGCTGTGAGGTCAGAGCTGTGCAGAGAGGGGCTGGCTAGGGTTGCTGCAACCAGAAAGGAAGGGGACAAGTTGAGGCAGCAGAGCCTCCCTCCCAGCAGCCAGAGCTCGGAAATGGCGAGGAGCTGGACCATGACATACAGAGGGCCAGAGAGAGGCCAGAGAGAAGCCACAAAGGACCCATGTACAAACCGAAGCTGCAAGGAGGAAGGGACCTCGAGCAATCAGGTATCAGTATGGAGGGTACTCGGGCCTTTTCTCTTCTGGTCTTATTCAAATTAAAACCGGGAATAAGGTAATAGCATGAGATTATGAATTTTTTTCCCAACATCCCCCACTCCCAAACATCATCATCATCATCATCATCATCATCATCATCATTATTATTATTATTATTATTTACCTCATCTCTATGTCCCATAAAGTGATGTCATCGCTGATCCAAGGATTCGATGGCTCTGCTGGCGTTATGAAAGGGTCGTACTCCACATACTGCTCTGTGTACGCGATTAAGCTGTAAGAGGAAGCAAGGCAGAGAAGATCTGATTTCCTAGGAAAGCACTCAGTTCTGAACACCAGCCGTAGAGTGTTCTCAGGAAAACCCCGCTCCCGTTTCTCACTAGCCAGCTGCTCTCAGTTGTCCTCTTCCCTTCCTGTTAAAATGTCAGTTTGCCCCGTCGCCATAGGTTTTAGTTCACACACTGATGTCCTTTCCCAACACTTAACTCTTTCTTCAGAACCTCGCTACAATACGCCCCCCACTCCCCACCCCTGCTTATGCCAGGCTTACTGATACTGATACCGGGTGTGATACCCAAAGACTATGGCTTTCAAGAAGAAGCAGAGTCCACAGGGAATTCCACAGCTCTACCAGAATTCCCAAACAAATGATTCCCTTGCTGAATAGACTTTTATATCCCACCTGACCACGACGTCACATAGGTTTAGTCTCAAAAGCAACTTAGCTTTTCTAGGTATAATTGCAACCTAATAGATTTGGCTAGCTGACATGTATATAAAAAATAGAAAATGCCCAGGGGCAATGATGGCTGTCTTGACATACAAAGGGTAGGGTGTGTGTGTGTGTGTGTGTGTGTGTGTGTGTGTGTGTGTGTGTGAGAACAGGTATACACACACACATAAATACATGTGTATATGTGATAAGCCCCGTAAACCTAACTGCCTATCACACAATACTAAGTGATCATATGTATTTGGGGGTGGGGGGTGGAGGAGGAGTAGCCTTGGCTGTTTGCCCCCATCTTTTCTCACAGACGCATCTGCCTCTCTCTTTCGCCTCTTCTAGCATTTGACTGCAAGCACGTGCTTTTATAACTGCTCTTGATTTATTCATTTTAGACAAGGATTGACTTCTGCTCATTGGCCCCCAGCACCCCCACTCCATGCCTTCTATGAGCTTCCGGGTGAACTCATCCAACCGATGTTGTTAAGTCAGTGTCCAGATTATTAACTGGCTAAAATTGTCGGCTGCTCAGCTCAGCAGCGCCCTACTCTTTCCCAGTGTTTTAACCAATCGGTAACACATCTAGAAATAGATCCCCCCCCCACATCTTGTATTAGATACTCTGTCAGGCTTTCCCCTGCCTCCAAAAGGTGTCCCCTTCTGCAGCCCCTAGTGCCCCTGCTTCTCTGTGGACCTGACACAAAGCCATCACCTTGGGGCTCTCTCCACTTAGACACTGAGTCCTTGTTCCATGGATTCCATTTCTGGCCCCTGGCTTTCCTCTTCAGCTGTGACGAAGCACATCCTTTGGTAGCCTTTTCTAACAAAGGCTCGTGAGAGTTAAAAATTTGAGTACTGGAGGCCAAAAAAAAAAGAAACGCTCCTGTCAACCTCGGTATTTGACCGATGGTGGTGGCGTAGGTCACCACGTTAAGAGTCGCCTTCCTTCAGAATTCTGAAGGCATTGCTCTATATTGTTGGCCTCCGGTGTCACTCTGGAGAACACTGGGTCCACGTGGCCTGGTGTCATTCTGTCAGTGTCTCTCCGTGTGGATTAAGGTCTCTATTTCGTTGCTAACGTGCTCTGCAGTTCCATGGTGGCTTGTTATTTAATTCATTATATTGAGCACAATGTGAAATAAATTTTAAAATATCCCCATAAGTTTTATTTCTTTGCTATTTTAATACTCTTGATCTCCCAATTTTCTTGTTCAACATGACAATTTTTATTAACACACGAACGGCCTGAACTATGATTCCAATTTTTCCTTTAATATTTCATCTTGTTTGAGTGTCTTTTGCCCTATCTAGCTATGTATTTAAAATGTAGGTAGACATGCTCTCAAGACTTTACTCTGATCATTGTACCAAGATTCTTGTTTTATCAATGAAATGTCCTCTCCTATATCAAACGTCACTAATTCTCCGTATTTAATCAAACATTTCTTCTGTTAGTTGAGCTGGTTTTGGCTCTCCAAGTCCCCTCCTTCTGTTTGCATGTGTCAATGATGTCCCTTCAGTCTGGGGCTTTCCTTGAGGATCTGGAAAAAAAATCTTTGGACATCCATTTGTACTGAAGAGTCAAGAACACAAACCTGCTTGGAGGCTGGGTGTGCATGTGGACAGAGTCTGTAAACAGATAGGCATCGTGGCCAGGTCCCAGCCAGCCTGCTTGTCTTTTTATTACGGCTCCGAAATGGAGATAGAGTCTTTCCCCTGAGGACATTTATGCTTCTCTAAGCACTTTAGCAAGCCATTCCTGTAAGGTTCACGTTGTAAATGTTTGAGACTCTGTGAGCCAGACAGTATTTATCTCAGCTCTTCCACTGTTACAATGAGGGGGTGGGGAGTCCACCCCTCCCCGACCCAGAAGCCCCACAGTTCAGGAAACAGAACGTCTACTGACTCTCTTGTCTTCACTAGGCCTCAGTGATGTCGAGTGTACCTGAGGTCTGAGTTTATGTGACTCAGTTTCTCCAGAGAGTAGGGAGAGGGCGGTTCCCAGGGGGGGCAGGTGATCCAAGGACAGAAGTGTCCAGAGGCAGACTGACTTGTTTTGTTGCTGTTAGCTCGTGGCTCACTCTTGCCTTCCATGGTCCTCATGCTTCCCGGGAACAGTATGAGACCTGTTAGGTCAACCGGCTCACTGTCAACCCCACTTCTGCTCCAGCATGTAGATTACAGTGCTCTTCATTCTGTCCTTCCCCACTTCCTTTTAGACCAAACTCCGAAATATTACAAGCTAGCAAAGGTACAAAAGGCTAGGAACTAGTTGTGTGCAATCCCAAACACTTGGGAGAACGAGGCAGAAGGTTGTAAATTGGAGGCTAGCCTGGGCTATTTAGAGAGGCCCTATCTCAAAACCAATCAACCAATAGACCAGCCATACCAATAAATATTGTAAGGAATAATATCTATACTCACTGCTCAATTGAAAAATTCAAATATTTACAAATAGAGAAATGAAGGCCTGTGGATTATGGTTCATAGATATTCTTTCTCGGGAAAATGTGTTGAACCCATTAATCTGTCAATTTGTTAAGCTTGAGTTTAAGACAGATGAAGGGTCCACTCCTTCCTGGGCACTGGATGGGTGTTAGGCCCTGCTCAAGCAGTGTTAAATCATGGCCAGTGTTAATCAGACACTCTTTAAGTTGATATTGCAAGCATACAAGAAGGCTGGGGTAACCTGGGTTCCTAGTTAGCAGCTGTGGACTCCCCCTTGCTACCCTGAGCAAAAGGGCTGAGCCCAACAGCTGGCTGGACTACCCTTTCACTCCAGTATCCTCCATTCTATACACTCTGTGGATGGTTTCCGATAATTATGAAAAGATCACAGCTGACTACCCTGGATCCTAAAGGATCTTTCAAGCCAGGGCTGCTTGAAACAGTTTGCGCCAGACTTTTTGTTATCAGAGACCTTTGTGAACTCTAGGCGACCCTGCAACCATTTCCGCTTTGGCCCAAGGAAGAGGAAGAGTACTTCCCTTGGTGGAAAGACTAATTACCAACTATTGCTAAGAGGTAAAGTCATTTGGTCCAAAACACAAGAAGCCTCAATGATTATGAATGGTGCTAAGATGCAAGATTCTGATTGGCCCAAACCAATGGCTGTGATTGGTCCAAACCCAGGGCTATATAAACAGTCTGCTCAGGCTCACTCAGTGAGTGGGCTGGGAGATGCTCTTTGGTGTTGCCTTCTCTGATGGTGTAGCATTTGACCCCATAAGAAGGATTCCCCATGGTGGTATTTTCTTGCTTACTTTCAGTAGTGCGGACTCGGCTGGTAGCACCAAGAAAGTGACAGTGGAGAGTGCTGGTGATGGCAGCAGCTGCTACACAGATGAAAGGGGGATAGTGGCCTTGGCATGGTTGTTCTATGGCTGAGGAGGAAGTGGCCACAGGCCCAGACATGGCCAGCAGTAGTGATCTCCACCGCCTAGCAGTCCTGCCCATCTAGTCATCCACCTGCCTGGCTGGATGTCCTTGTCTCAATGAGCTGAACAGTACCAGACACTGGCTTGCTGAGTGGCAGGCAATCCCACTCTGACTCCCAAAAGACATGCCAGAGGAGGCATGCATCCTGAGTCATCTCAGCAGGATGCTGGTAGCCCAGATCGGAGATCTGCTACCGGCGATCTGCCATCTGAACGCAGCCGGGAGGAAGAAGGGAAGCAGGAAGACAGAGAGAGCAGAGAGTACCTAAAGGCTAAAAGGCTGCAAGGAGCCAGGAAAAGAACCTGCAGGGCCTGTTTACCATCAGAGTTCCGGACAACCGTCCAGTCTTCAGGGCCATGGATCTCAGCTCCTGAGCTGAATGCTGTGACACTGGATGCTGTCAAGAGCCAAGGGTCCCAGTGCCTGAAGCTTGCACAGGGGTTAGAACACTCCCAGTGCTAAGGCTCCATACCTAAGAACTGAACAAAGACCCTGACACTGGAGTACGCCACTCATCACTGCTTCCTGCTGCCAAACACCGAGGGAAACAAAAGTTGTCCAAGACCAGCATTTATTTGAAAGGTGTCTAAAAGTTATTATCATCCACTTGATAGGATCCGAACTCACATGGGAGACAAGTCTCTAGGTATTTAGAGACTTGTATTTAGATTACGTTTGGTCTCTAGTCATGTCTGTGAGAAGTTATTTTAATCAGATTAACTGAAGTGGGCAGCACCATTCTCTAGGCTGGGATCCTGGACTCATAAAAAGCAGAAAGTGGCTGAGTATCAGCAAACATCCTCTGCTTCATGACTGCAGATACAATGTGACCAGCTGTCCCAAGCTCCTGCTACCGGAATGCCCTGCCATGATGAGCTGGACTCTCAAACTGTGAGCCAAGATAAGCCTCTCCTTGCTTTGGTTGCCACTGTCACAGCAACAGGAAAAGTGACAAATACTCCTTCTCCTTGACTACATGTGATCTCTATCCAAGTAGAGCAAGAAAACCTTCTGCTATCTCAGTAGTGAAAAGTTCATATTGTTTTGATTCATTTAGTCATATGTTTGGGGGGAAGTGAAGAAAAAGAATAGTTTATTATATATAATTATAT